TTAAATAAATTGAATGATTTAGTTCTGCGTTATAAAACGTGCGGATAATGTTTAGCGTTACTGTGAATATTCCCCTTATAATATATCCACTTTCAATTATATTTTGCCTTTAATGTTAATTTACTTAAGAAATTAAAACAGTTTCGGGCAAAAAATCCAGCCGAGTTCCACAACTAGGACTGAAAAGATTAAGTATAATGTCGATTTTTTACTTTCTCGCGCTTTTAAATTAAGGAGAGAAAGTATCTGTAATCGATTGCGCCGAAAACGACGAATTTTCATCACCAAAAACTCTTCATTGCCGGTCCTAGACAGTAACGAAGAAAGTGGATACATCCAGTGCTAAATTTAGAAAAAAAAAGTTTCTCAAAAAAACACGCGTGTAATCCGGAACTCCAGATAGTTTTGTGGTGCCTTCGATACCGAAAAATCGACTACGGCAAAAACGTGTTGTTCTGTCAATCCGTCAGAGCACTACGCAGCGCATAAACCATTTCTCCCGATTTTCTCCAAAAATTTAGATTCTCAATCGTTATAGCTGATGTCGCGGCCCTTTGGGATTTGAAACATATTTTAAATTGTTGTGGAGGGCCACTTTCCATGAAGGGTCCCGGACTTTTCGAATTTGTTGTGTGTATAAAAATTGCTCCAACTTTTTTAAATTTAAATTCTGATTGATAAATAGCGCAAAAGACGTTCTTAGAGAATGGTGCAAGTCTCATATTCATTAAATCTCCGATTTTTCGAAAATTCGGAAAAAATGTAAAACTTCAAAATTGAAGATAGAGATTTTGCCTCAGACAAAGTTGCTGTTGTACAAAAGTAGCTCTTTAGAATATACCATGTACATTTTTTTTAAACGAGGTGATAGTTCTTAGCCGTAATTTGGGCTTGAAACCTGATTTTTCTCAAAACCCAGTCGAGATTTTTACTTTAGAATTGTCTCCCACTATGTAGTAAGGACGGTTAAAAATATGTGCCAGTCTTATTTCGCAGTAATGCTGTTTTTTCCATAATGCAAAAACTCAAAACTGCAAAATTGAAGACAGAGGTTTTTGCCTCAGACAAAGCTATGTATGTCCAAAATTAGGTCTTTAAAATGATCAGAACAAAACGAAACAATAGAAAATAAAAATCACATGGGGTTGCACAATGTATGATGGAGAGACGAGAACTTTCAAAGCTAGCTAAGAACATTATCTGTTGTGTATGAAAATAATTCTGAGTAGGATGTCCACCTGTAACATTCACAAAATAATTAAATTATGTGCAGCATTGTAAGTTGATTTAACATCGGATTTAAGACATTAAAGTGAACGGAAACGTCAACATCAAGACAGGAAGAACATTCGAAGGTTATTGGCGGAACCGAAATTTTCGCGGAAAGGATCCTTAAACTTCAACAACGCAGGCGATCACGAGTGCTGCATACAATCTACACTCTTTATAACCTGAGAAAATTCCACGAGAAAAAAAAAAACAACCCCAAAACAAACATCTTACAAGTATATCAAACGGTTCTTTGCCCCAAAGAAGAAGTCAGAATAGCTAGCCCAAGATTCAACAGAATGAGGGACCTAATACAGGGAAATCTATCTCCTGTTGAGCATTAGAGAATTGCGGTGGACTCGTGGAACACAACTCTCCATGTTTCAACATTTCATTATTCCATAAGCCTATCAACTTCTTCATAAAATCTCTCTTCTGATTTATCTGTATTTGAAAAGATGCTCCATGACTCAACTCCAGCCACCCACCTATATGTCTCATCAGACACGACGAAACGGCGTATCGCTCGTTCTTGATGTCGAGTGTGCTACTGGATAAGAACAGAGCCTGTATGCGTACCTGAGCGTGCGTGATGATCTTTCCGGTTGTGAGTACTAAATGTAAGGGTAGAGTTATAGAGACGTAAAGATATACATTACTATTTCGCTGATAATAAACTCTTAAGAGACTGAGTGAGTGCGTGATATTATCCACAATTAGAGTACGTATTGACAACATTGCAAAATCCTGATAGGCAGTCGAAATTCTTCACACACTTCTTAACAATATTTCTGAGAATCAAGGGAAGACCGGTTCACGACCGCGTTAAACATAACAGAATTGCATTTGACTCAACTCTCCAAGGAGCGCATCTTAGCACGCGAAAAGTCCTTGCATCGGAAGCGGAGGTGCATGCAGCTAATTTGCATAACCATAACACAATACAGGACCTTAACATCAAATATGTGTACACTGACATATCCCATAATCAATTGTATAACACAACCTACTATCTAATCGAGATTAACATAAAATTTATATAACTTCAGTAAAAACATTTTAAAATTACCCTTAAAAAAAGAAACAAAATCAACTCCGCACTGATCTTTGTTCAACTGCAGCTTCTCACTATTCAGTGTGTTCACTATGACCCTATTATACTCCACCATTAATTCCGTGTTCTACATCTCACGAGCACGTCTCATTCTACTCGCATCACAACACATCATACTACTGATCAGCATTCTCGCTTCCACACCGGCGCACATCCCGTCAGTGAGCTTAATTGCAAGCATTTACCCTTCACGTGCACTTATCAGTAATACCCTTAAACTTTAATCCTTCGCCCTAGTCGTCTGTTATCGATACACCGGAAAGAGGATCGATATGTTTTGCGGAAAGTCATTCCCTGAAGTTTGCTATGGCGTGTTTCTTAACCCTGTATGCTTCGCGACATTGATAAATAAACAAGAGCTCGCACATGTTTCCCTCTTCGCAATCTTTATATTTACCGAAGCACAGCCTCCCCGACTCTGATTGGTACTCTAGGTGGTTATGTAAGCCCTGCCCGTCATATTAAGTCGTTTCCTACGCCGCTCCTGTGATCCCCCCTACTGATGTATGTAGTATGTATGTAGCCGCCGATTAATTTCTTTCCAAGCTGGCTGACCGCTATAAGCTTTATACAAAGCGCATAGCCTTGCTACTGATCGCCTATTTTCAAGAGAATCCCATTTTGCCAATTTCTTGATCCTGAAAGTAAATTTAGCTGCCCTACGCTAAATTCTTTCCAAAGATAATTTATGTAATAGTAGTATACTATTACAGATGATACTAGACAGTTTGCCACTATTGCAGCATCACTAGTTTGATATGTGGGGAAAAATATATTGAGATGCAAAGTGACGAAAGCATAAACCGCCATCCTCGCAGTTCCGCCTCCTTTCGCGCTGCAGGCCGCCGGCCGCGTTGGGGACACTCAGCGGGCGGGTGGCGCACCGGAGTTTTCCAAATTTCACTTTACGGCGCTCCTATTCATCCAATTTGCATGATTTTCACAGCGTTGGATTCAGGGAGCCATCGTCATCGCGCCATAAGCCTGCATTTTTTAAATTTTTTTCTTGGAAGTTTGAGCACAAATTACAAATTCGAGTTTTTGCTAGTTTTTCGGAAGTAGTGCTTCGTAGCGTAAATTATATTTTAAAAAGGAGTGAAATACAATATACAGATCGAAAATAGGACCATTGGTTCAGACGTTATTGGTAAAATAAATTTTACTTATTTTGATGCTGCCACGTGGTGGCGACAAATAGAACTAAAGGCGGTACATTTAGCCTTAATGAAACGTCGTAAAAAACGATAACATTGTAATATTGCGAGAAAGTATGTGCTACTGTAGCACTATTAGTTCATTTATATTTCATATTATAACCAAATTGTTTCATGAATTTTATTTTCGTCATAGTTTATCATTTTGATTCAATTTTCGTATATTTGCTTGCAGTCGTCTCAAAGACATTTTTCACATCTAATTCAAACGTTGTTGGTGATGTTTTTAGGGGAGACCGAGCAGGAGATAATTTCTCATTTCTTTGAAACATTGGACAGAACTAACCACTAAACAATTGCTGTTACCTTGCATTAGCAATGTATCTGTTGCAGCCTGAAGGAATGAAGAGAGAAAATGTACTACTTCTAATCACTGATGCAGCTCTTTACATGATGAAAAATGGCAAGGTTTGCAGCTACTCTACCATAAAATGATACATGTAACATACATTGCACATGCACTAAATCGAAGTTACGGAAGTTACGGAATAATCAGTTACGGAAGAAAATCGTGGAAATTATTCTGAGGTAGATAAGTTAATTTCTGAAGTGAAGAAAATCTTCATCAAAGCTCCAATACAAGTGCAAAAATTCAAGGAAATGATTCCTTCGATGTCATTTCCTCCCCAACCCATTTTTACACGTTGGGGCTTAACGCTGCAAACTACTTCTGTACCAATTAAACAGCTATCGAAGAGGTTAATTAAATGAAGGCAAAACTGCCACCATTCAAACCGCCAAGACTCTTGTTTTCATGTACCACATTGATCGCAGATACGCTTATAAGAAAAACAAAACACTACTGTTATGTATAAATATTTGTGATCATAATAAATGATAAACAACAAATGATGTTTCGATGTATGATTCACTGAGAAAAATACATCATGGAATTAACAGTTTGGACTGTTCAAATAACAATGAAAATCGTCATCTATATGTTCAACGAATCTAGTAAATAACATTCAATAATAATCAATTTAATAATGAACAAAACTGAAAACAATGTATATTATTGCAGCACAATTACCTTAAAGCATGAATATACATGAATATTTTCATGTTTATAATAGAGCCAAAATTTGCCCCTCCCCTCAATAAAAGATCCGAAATCCCGCCTCTGGTAAGATTAAACATGAGCTTAAGGCCCCCGCCGGATAGGCGGGGGTTGACGATAGGATTCTCAAATATTGTTTTAAAGTTTATATTAAATCGTAAAATATAAGCATATATAAATATTCAATTATTAAATTGCGAAAGCCATTGTTTATTTTGCGTGTTAATTTTAATGGCTTGATAATTTTGATGGTTTCAATTAGAAGAAATGAATATTTCAATAGAGTCCATCACCTCGTACTTCGAGACCCTCAAGAAGTTAATCGGAGCCAAATGATTTAATCATTTAGTCACTCCTTTAGATAATGATGAAATAATTTCGCCGCTCCTTGTAATAACCCACTGAAATCATTTATTCAAAGAAATAGATACAGTTCACAGTCCATAATAAATAAACAAAAATAATTACTAATGCTAACTTTTCATAGAAAATCTTGATTAGCACCTCAATGACACAGTTAATTGTTACTAGAGACTTAATGGAATTTACGGTAGGGATTTTTCGTTCGATGTTATTACTTTTTTCTTGAAGGTAGAGGAGCAAAAGGAGGTAGTGGGAACCACTTGGCGTGGGAAGCAATTTACTTTACGTTTACCCGCGACTTCTACCCCATCACTAGATGAAGCCCCGTCTTTCGCGAATCTGCACTGAGGCGCACGGCTACGGACGTGCTGTTGAATGTGCGGAGGATAGCGAGAACGTGTTCTCGCGCTTCGGAGGGCGTGGTTTGGTTCCAGGCTCCCCTTTCATTAGGGTCATCGATGTGGCAGCTTTCTTCAATTTAGTAGCTGTGGGTGGTCGTGACAGCAACATCTGAAAAGAGATGTTAATGATTGTTAGACAGAACTGACAAGCGCACTAGGCTTCATGGAAAATGGAGCCTAAATTACTCCATTAAAATATGTATTTAAAATCTCATGAACATTGGCAGAACTCCCAAAGAGGGACAAATCCATTGAGAATAGTTATTAACTGATTGTGGCTCATATTTGATAAGGCATTCATAGTACTTACAATATCTACGGATCGTCATGAGATCTATCATTTACATACTATTCTTTTATTTACAACATTATAATAAATAATCGATATCATAACGATATTAACATTGCAACTACAGTTGCAAAAGTAGTGTTAAAACAAAAGCAATCCAAAAATTTATTATTTTATTTAAAATGAAATTTCACTTTATTTAAAACTCATTTTCAGAGTGGAGAACTTTATTATTTTAATTTCACATTTAATTGATAAAATGTTGTGGGAGTTCAGCTGTTAATTCTGAGTAACATGTGATGTTCGGGGCAATCTAGTTTATTGCTGAGAAACGAGTTCGTTTGCGTGCGAAGCACTAAAGGAAAATTGAACACACAACCACGGTCAAAACGAGAGTAATTGGCTCGAAATATCAGGATACGAAATTACATATCTTCAAATAATTAAAATTTTGTAGTATATTTACCAGTATACGAAATTGGTTAACGATAAAGGAGAACAAAAATGTTTTGTAACGAGGAAGCACCTCAGCAATGATTAAGAAAGGCCTATTCTGAATGAACGATATGCGTCACCTCGTCAGTCAACGCCAATTTCGAGCGCAAAGACGGCCGTCCCGCGGGGTCCTGAGCTCGAGTGACTGTCTTGATGTCGCCATCTGCGGTGTCGCCGGCCGCCAGGGGCGCTTCAGTAGTGGGGCCTGCGACGAGGCGCTGTGCAGACGGCAACGCGTGCTGACTGCTACTTGCGCTGCGACGCGGCGTCTGCAAACCGCATGCGGAAGCGAGATTCAATTCAAGGGAAGAAGACTTTCTTTGGATAGTGATAAAAATAAAAAAAGGAAGAGAAAAGGAATTAAAAATCACGCGGGGTACGAGGCTAGTTTGTTAGGGCACTGCTCCAGCTTTTGTGCGGTACCGTATTGGTCGATTGATTGATTAGTGATTCCGATCGAATCAATACGAAGGTCATTAGTGCTATAAATGTAGTACTTGTTTTTATCGCGGGAGGGGGCGGTGATTTCCCCCCGCTTGTTGGCGAGATCCGGCGCCGACCTATATCGGCATGCGTGTTTTCCCCCAACGAGGTATCTACCACCAGCGTATCTCCCAGCACCGCCGCGCCCAGGTCGGAACAAGCTGTAAGCTCCCGAGAGGTCTATCGACAAGTGTGTTAGTGTAGTGCATGCGAATGTGTAAGTAAGGTGTGAGGAAAGAGCAAGGAAGAGGAAGGAAAGATTGCGCGCGGTCGGTGGACCTTTTGTTAGGGTACTGCTTCGTCATTCGCCTGGTGTTGATCGAAGAAACCACGGTAAACTACCTATCAAAGAAGCCGTCAGCTAGAATCCTTCTCCAGACAGAGGCTGAATTCGATCTAGCTGACAAGCCAGTGTCGAAAAGCCTGCCACCGTCGGAACTTGATTTCTAGAACATCCCCGGTCAGAGGCACTACAATGGCATCATTTGTTGCCCTGATCCACCTTTGCCGGTTTGTGTAGTATTGACTGGAGAAACCATGGTAAAAAACTAATCAGAGCAGCTGGGCTCTAGAATTCTCTTCTAAGCAGCGGTTGAATTCGACCCAGATCTCAGGGTTGTCGAAAATCCTCTACTGTCGAAGCTCACCTCGTACAGGACTTCCGTTCCAACGATGCTGCAGAGGAAACAGCGTTGTCTCAGAGCAGTCGCGTGTTAAGGTGGCTCCACATATTCAGCATTCACCGACCTAATTCCGCTGCTCACCTAATCCCAAACAGCTGTAGTTTTCGGCGAATGTTCGCTTCCTTTGATGTGTCCAAATGACCGACACGCGGTGGGTACCGCGGGGGCACCGAATATTCGGCACTCGGCAAATAGCAAGCAACTCATCCATACTTCTTGGGATTCGGCGAGCTGTTTCTCGCTACAAACGAGTGTGTGCCGAATAACGAGTATGTGGAGCCGCCTTTATACTTCGATTTATTTATAGAGTCTGTTAGCGTTCGATTAGCTGTTACGGTGTCGGGAGCTTTAACGTTACTACTGTATGTGTCAAACAAACTCCCGATTGGATGACACAGTAACAGTTGATTTACGTCAACGGACTCTTATGTTTAAGCTAGTATGTTCGTTAACCACGGTAAAGTACCCCCAAAAATATTTTAAAAGAAAGTAATATCCCTCTTCTTCAAGATTGAACGAAAACAATTGCCGTTAGCGCCCAAATTTTTGAATAAAATAAATTTAAATTAGTACATGCTCTTATGGAAAAACTTTCACTTGCATGTTTTTTTTTAATTATTGAAGTAGTAATACGGTGAACGTACCTTTTTGCTTATTTAATAAGTAGTAAAATTTTTAAGAAATCATATACTATATGTAACATACCTCACCGGACATTCTGAGGAGTAATAAAAAAAATGCTCCGAAATTCATGGCAATCGGAAGTACTGGCTCTCGGCTTAGGATTCATGCTGTACAAATCATGCTATTGTCAACACTGTTTCTCTTCAGTACGAGAGAACTGTCGCATTATAACGTTTTGACGATACACACTGTGTTGGTCGAGAATTCACTTCCAATGTAAACAATGTAGACTAATATTAAAAGCAAAATGAAAGAAAAGAACCGTTGCCAAATCAACATAACCAATATTAGATATTGCTAACTTACGAAAATGAAAAATAATACGAGAGACTAAATTTATTAGTACTTAAACATTGTTTTACTAGAGAAAATATTCAATACTTCTCTTTTACCAATTTACAAATAATCATGTAAATGCTCCGTGTTTGTTTACAAACAGATATTGTTAATCTATAGATGTAATAAAAGGTTGAGTGTTTGACTAGCGTCTGCCACGAACATACCACCTTAAATCGAAGTATAATATAGGAATAATATTTCTGCCTACTTGACAGCTGGGAGTGGGGTAGAGCATCCATAAGGAAAGTAATATTAATTTTTAAAATTACATTTAATGTATTATATATCATTTGGATAGTATAATTGTAAAGAACGTGTAATACGTATTGTACTTCAGCTTCTGGGTCAATGACCCCCATCTCGATCAGGTTTTCGCCCCGTTTCCCTGATCCTCGAGCAAATGCTGAGATGGTCCCTTGTTTTGCTTCTGGACATAAATGGAACTTCAAATTAACTTCTCCCCATTGCACGTCATACACAGTTTTTAACTGTTTTTGACTTAAATAAATAAATAAATAAATAAATAAGTGATGTTGCCACTTACTCGGGGCAGATACGTGGTCGTGAGGTCGTTCCACATTGGATCACAACAGCAGTAAGAAATAAGAGCTGACAACAGAGGACGACACAGAACCGCACCCACGATGAATACCAAAAAAGTAATGGCGATCATCATTTGGAGTTGTTTCGCGCTGTTAGATTTTATTTTCTTCTTAACAAGTATCGACAACTCTGCAGTGACATCAGAATTTGCAGCCTCTGATTGGGTAACGGAACCCCCTCTCCCCTTTCAGCCGGTACCTGTCAAGTAGACAAAACTATTCTTCGCTAATTAATAGCTAGAGCGAGGGTTGGCCCGGACCACGCCCACCTGTCGCGCGTCCAGGACGGGGGTGTGCGGCGCCTCGCGGGCGTCGCGGGCCTCCGCCGCCGCCGCCGCCCCCAGCCCCAGGTCGCGAGCGCGCTGCGTCATGCGGCGCACGGTGCCACCGGCCACAGCGTCTACGCACGCGTGCAACATTTATGGAGCAAATAATAGCACGAAACAATTGCTGCAACGCTGTCAAGGTAAAATGGAAAGGAATGTTTTACATGTTTCGTTGAAAGGTAGAATACCCAGTATAGGCACCAGAACAAAAACTAATATCAAAGATGCGGCTTTTCTAGCTGATCGATAAACGTGGAGATGGGGAGGTCATGTCGTGAGGCAGAAGCAATCAAGATGGGCGTACTTTACAACGAACCAGGAGCCGATATTTGTATGGAGAAATCCAGGCAGAACGCAGACCACATGGACCGACAGCCTACGGAGACCGGCAGGTCCACTTTGGTCTAGACTGACACAAGACAAAGAAGGTTGGAAGCAGTTGGAACGAGACATGTGCAGTGTTCCTCATTAACTACATGTACATAAAATTAGTGAAGTGTTTTTTCATTATAATTCTATGCATATATTATTATTATTATTATTATTATTATTATTATTATTATTATTATTATTTTCAATTTTTCCCAGTTAAAAGGAGCGTTTGAACTTCAATGCTTGTTTACGCTTCCTCTGAGCCCACAGAAGAGGCCGTGACTTTTATATAATTTATACTGTTTTTCTTAAATAGTATTTCTCTTAAGAACCAATGCCTTAAAATCAGTTTGTTTTATCTCGTTCCTATGACAAAAATTTTGTTCTCAAACAAGAGTCTTTTCTACAGGAAACAGGATTTTTAAGTTATCTTCACATTTTATCAGTGTCTTCGCAAGAGATTTTTTGAGAGATTTTATCTGAGATTACTAGTGATCATCTGGTACATCAAGCAGCTTATGAGAGCTTCGGAGGAATATAACATACTGGTGGGAAATAGGTGACCCATGGTGGAATAATTCTTTGGCAGGGAAAGTACGAGACAAGAAAATGGCTTATAATACATGGTTAAGCACTCAAGATATTGAAGACAGAGAATGGTATCGTCACATTAGTAGAGAAGTTAAACAAGAAGTAAGAAAAGCAAAAAAAAAAAAAAGCTTGGGAAAGAGTATGTGAAGATGTAAAACAGAGTATATGCAATGTCAGATCAATGAACGCATGGAAAATAATGAAGAACCTCAGAAAAAACGGAAAAAAAAATCACTACTACAACCTATAAGTATTCATCAATTTGAAATATATTACGAAGAACTTTTGAAAGAAAATAGGCTTGCATTTAATAACACGTACAACATAGAGCTCGAGGAACCAGCTGATACGGAATATATTACAACGAGAGAGCCTCATATCTCTCTTACCTCTCAAGCGTGCGAATTAAACTAGTCCCAGGCATGGGAGACACCGTTACCAGCAAAGTCAGACAGTCGATCAAAACGACAAAAACATACATTGCGCCAAAGAAGCTGGAAAAGTTACATGACTATACGAGGAAAGCGCCTAGTGTCGATCAGAGAAACAACGGAAAACTACCTATCGGAGCAGCCGGTCGCTAGAATTCTTCTTCAAACAGCGACTGAATACGACCTAGCTTCTTGAAACCAAGGTCGAAAATCTTGCCACAGCCGACTCGAACCCTCAGACCTCCCGGGTAGAGGCTCTGCAGTGTCATGAATTGATGCCTTGAGCCACTTGTCAGTCAAAAGCAAGATCCACTTTAGTTAGCGGGCTGTTTTAGGCCAATAGTTTAAGAAGAGAGATTGAGACGGAGGAAGGGGTGGAGAAGCCGGCCGCGCGTGGGGCGCTCACCGTTGACGAAGCGGCTGCGGGAGGCGGCCGCGGCGGCGGCGAGTGGCGCGATGGACACGTGGCGGAGCGCGGCGGACGACGCCGCTTTGGCCAGCCGCTCGCTCTGCCCGGCGG